TTAAAAAAAATACGCTAGGTATATTCAACACGTCCTGCCTGTCCATTCGCCATCCCGCCATTTCGTTTCGTTTGCCGCCATCTTTTTTTTCTTTTTTTTATCCTTAGGCTTTACTTTGAGACGATAATGCTTGTTTATTTTGACCAGAGATTTGGATTTTGTTTCTCTCAGCTGTCGGCTTTTGTTTGCATTTCTGTTATCGCATTTCCTTTTGTTTAAACCTATCATTATAGTTTCATTTATGGTGTAGGGAAGCAGTTTCTAATTTCAAGTCACGTAATTTCTTGTGACATGTGCGCATGCGCGCTCCTATGCATGCACAGGCAAAAACGAGTAAATGAATGAATAGAAATAAATCAATTTTAAAATAAATAAAACATATCAAAACGACTTGAAATTAGTTAAAAGCAAATCTCTCTACCTCACTGTCTCTTCTCTCTCCCCTCGTCTCTCTATATTTATATATGTATATGTACAATTAAAATAAACTCCCAGTGTTCAGTAGCTCAACCGTAATACCGATAATCCTGATTATGTTCTTTTGAAATGTGATTCTGTTGACGTTGGGTAATCAGCAAAAACATGACAAAAGATTTTTTTCTAATTTCTGTATATATATATATATATATATATATATATATATATATATATATATATGTGTGTGTGTGTGTGTGTGTGTGTGTGTGTGTGTGTGTGATAATTATTTCTGAGATTTGAATAATTTCTTATAATAATTTATCATGTCTAGAGCAAGAATCCGCAGCAGAATGCACTGGACAACCATTTCTTCCATTTTGGTACTATATATATATATATATATATATATATATATATATATATATATATAAAGATATTTTTTGTAGGTACAAAATTTAATGATCGAAATAAAAGTATAATCTTAATATTACGAGACATATTAAAAAAAAAACGGTGAAGCAACCGGTTTCGCTCCCGCTCTTCAGGCTTCAACGGGAGATTTAAAATTAACACAGAAAAATGTGCAATAAAAGGAATTGTGAAAAAAAAAATCACAATTATAGTGAATAACATGGTAATTTTTCATCGTTATATAGAAGTTCTAGCTATATTTTTCTTCCAATTTTTGGATTGATTGTTGTAGTCTATTCTAAAGTCTATTGTTTTGTTAATTTGTTTAATGTTTACTTTATTTATTTGGATTGATTATTTTTATTTGTACCTAATGCATGTATTTTTTATTTTTATTTGCACTATTTAGTCTATTCTAACGGGAGTGGTTTGTTTATTTGTTTATTATTTGCTTGGGTTAATTTATTTCACTTGTTTTTTATATTATTTTGTTTATTTTTATTTATTATTTTCATTTTTCTATTTTTAAGTAACGTAGTAGAAATTTGTTTTCATGTCTGCATTTTGAGATGCGCTCAGATCGTTTATTTAGTTGGTCTGGGAAGGTAATAATAACTATTTTTTCCGCCCAGCAGAGTTTGCAGGTTTTGGATTGATTGTTGTTGGCTGTTGATCTTTTCCTTATTTTTCATGGTATTTTTGGTAATATATATATATATATATATATATATTTCACCCTTTAGCGATCGTCAGACAAACTGATTAATGTTTTAAAAAATTTGGGTTTATGTAGATTGCGTGTTTTGGTGTTATTGTCGAAGTGGTGGGAAAAATTTCGTCGTTTTGTTATTCATCGTACTAACGCAAACATCGATGTATGCAGACACATATACACACTTGGTCGTCCGTCGGGACTCATACATATATACACATGTGTGGGCAGTTTCGGCTATGACACATGTATGTATGGTGGTGTTATATCTATACATACGCATTTGTATGTTGAAATGTTGAAATCTAAACATTGGAAGTGTGATTTGAAATGTCTCGTTGATGTGTACATGTCATATGTATTTTCCAGCTGAAAATATTTCCTCGCATGTATGTATATGTGTGGTGGGGTTTGTGTAAAATTATGATAGATAAAGATTATTATTATTTATATTTATTTTAGATTTTGAAAAAAAAAATGGGGCTTTATTTGTTATATTTAAAGCTGGTTATTTGTTTGTTTTTGGTGACTGTGTATATGTAACAGGTAGAAATTTGTAATCCTTATTGGTTAATTTATATGGTGATGTTTAGTTTAATATTCAATGTGCTGGGTGAGAGGGTAGTTCAATTTAATAACGGGTTTATATGGTATGATGTGATAGTAATGATTCAAGGTATTGGAGACAGAAATTAAATTGTGATTGTTGGTGGTTTGTTTGTTTTATCCGTTTGGTATGAATTCGGATAATAGGTACTTGTTCTCATGCCTACATTTGGAGATTATCTCTGATTTTTTGTTTAGTAAGTTCTTCCAGGGTCACAAACTCACATCTATCCAACCAAATATGTTAGCTCTATCTCTGATATTGAGCGCTTTCTAATAAGTACCGCGCATATAATATATAAATAATTATACATATATATATTTGTTTATATTTATATACACTTTTCACACACA